CAGCCACAGGACAGTCCATGGCACCTCACGGCGTGGAGCTCCAGTCCAGAAGGTGCCAGGAGCCTCGTGGGGGTTGGTGGGGCAGCTAGGACTCCTCGCTGTCGTCCTCGCCCCTGCGCCCAGCATACAGCAGTCCATGGCACCTCACGGCGTGGAGCTCCAGTCCAGAAGGTGCCAGGAGCCTCGTGGGGGTTGGTGGGGCAGCTAGGACTCCTCGCTGTCGTCCTCGCCCCTGCGCCCAGCATACAGCAAAAAAAAACCCGGGGGCCCCAGCCCCCCAGGTAGGAGAAGTCCTGCCCCGAGCCACTGGACCAGGTGTTGATGGAGCTCAGGGAGGGCACAGGGGAGTCCGAGCCCTCGAAGGCATAGGTCTGGAACGAGTCATAGGGCGGCACAGAGAGGTCCTCATCCGCCTGCTCCACCTTCCTGCAGATGTAGTCTCTGAACACAGAGAAGTCCAGGTCTGGGCTCTGCACCCACTGTGGGAGGGCATGAAGCTCGGAGGCTGGGTTTCTGCCCGGGCCCCCCTCTCCTGGCCCCCCACCTCCATCACCACCTTTGATCTCACTGAAGTCGTAGAGACTGCGCAGGGCTGACATGTCGTAGGCCTCCGTGTCCTGCTCGCCACCCCCTTCATCGTTGTATTTGATGACATTGTCCCTCATGTCCTCGTCATCCTCAGACGTCAGGTGGCTTTTGTGGTGTCGCTTCAGAGTGAGGATCAAAAGGACCAGCACTGGGAAAGGAAGAGACGGTCAGATGGGTGCAGGGTCTCGTGGAAGCTGTGCTCCTGCGGGGTGAGGATGGAACCTGCTCGGTGGCAGGTGTGGAGGCACAGCATCCCCCGGCACAGGGAGCCCCAGCAGCATGCCAGGCAGTTCCGATCAGCCAGGCTCATCAAGCAGCAGCCGTGCTGTGTACTGGCTTGGAGAGAGGTTTGCCCGGGCTCCAGTGCAGACCAGGAGCTTCCTTTCCCATGCAGCGTGACCACTGAGACAGGAGGGACAGATGGATAAACACACGGCTGGACAGACAAACGGATGGGTTCTGCAGAAGATGAGTAGGAAAAGGGGGTGCATGAATCACAGCAGCAGCCAAATGTTGGGCGGGTGAGCGTGGAGCAGATGGCACAGAGCCTGAGCAGCGAGCCACAGCTGTGTCCTGGATCATCATCCATTCAGCCCATCACCTTTAAAGCACCGATGTGCACTTTATTCGTTTGGGCAATTAGGCAGAAATTTGTTTGCGCTGCGTTGGAAAATGAAACCAGTGTAAAGTGCACCCTGTGGGAAAGGGTTTTCTGAACAGAGATGCTGCAGGAGAGAGGGAGTGGAGCCATGCCAAGGAGGAGACCTCACCGAACAATGCGCTGGCTCCCACAGGTGTCCAGACAG